ATATGTAATTATTTTTAATTTGGGCCCGTATTTGTAATTATTTTCACTTTCCGGGCCCTTATTTGTAAATTCCCCTTTAATTTAATATCGATATGTTTAATAATCATAATCAAATGTATGTAAATTTAAATTACGTATTTATCGCTATATACACAGAAGTATGATCGGTATAATAATTTTACTACGCACAAGTATAGTCGGTAAAATAGTTTACTATGCACAAGTATGATAGGTATGATAACTTTACTTTATCCGACTACCTCATCTTTTATTCTTTTATAAAAGAGTATTATCCTTTTTGCTATCTACCTAAAATTGTGCAAATACATCAGAGATTAAAAATCATTATAGTTATAATAAAACCTTTCTGTACCGATATTTTTCGGTATAACTCACTATACCGAAAATTTTTATATAATGCCGTTATATCTGAAGTTATGTGTAATAGTTATATGTTCCCTCCAGCAATATTTTTTATATTGTATAAACCAAGAAATTTAATGAACGTTTAAAATTCACGTACTCCGATGAATTAAAGTATTACACGGTATGATGTTTTAACAGTTAATTTCAATTGTTCTGCTTGGTAGCAAGTCATAGACTAATGAAATTGAAAGAAGTTATGAGAAAAATTTTAATTTTACTATGTATTTTTTTACTTCCTAAGTCGTACCGCAAATGAGTTGAAGAATTTGGACTTATTGTTAATTTATTTTCAAGTTGGCCAAGTGTTCTTCCAACTGATTAAGCTCTGTTTGCTTAGAAAGAAGAGTTTGTATTTCTTCTTTAGTTAGGATACCTTCAAGGATGTCTTTGTAAGCAATTAGTTTGCCCTGGATTAATTCTTCATTACTTTTAATTGCTTGCTTTTGAGTTTCTAATAACATGTCAACTATTTTTTCTAGGTGACCAGCTTTGGTCTTCATATTTTTCGTTAATTCTTCAAATTTGATCTTTCCATTTCTTACTTGTGGCGCCAGTTCTTGATATTTAAGACGTGTGATTTCTTGTTCGAGGACAGGAAAGTTATAAGGTTTATTTGGGAATAATAAATCAGAAATCCGTTGGAGTTGTTTGTCTTGACTAGAAAGCACTTTTCCCTCATACATTCCAATACTGGTTATAGAACGATTAGTGCATTTTCCAAAAAAGCAAGTATAAGCCGTACCAGGTGCTGGTGACATATCGAATAACGTTGAACTATTGTTGCCAAAATTTGTACTGAATATTACATGTTTCTTGGAAGGTATATAGGTTATAAATTTCAATTTATCAAGATTACCATGACCACTTATGTGACCATATTGTCCAGAAATTGCTAATATATATTCACCATCTTCAAAGTTAATTATAGTTTCATTCCCGCCGCCGCCCCCATGCTTATTACCATCAATTAAATAAGCTCTATCATTTGTTGTTACTTTGTAAAAGAATTGAATTGAATCTATAAAATCCCCATGCCAAATTTTTATTTGTTCTATATGTATATCTTTGATTATATTATTGTTCAAAAGATCTGATTTATTAGTGCCAAGCTCGTTAGCAATTTTGTCAAGGTCATCAATTTCACCACCCCTTTCGTTTCCATTCAAAGGTGATTTTGTCCCATTTAATTTAATTGTCAATTTTTCGTCCATACCTTGTTATAATTTTACAGAAATTTTTCTGTTATTTTAGATAAAAATTATGAAATTCCGTTTTTGAAATGCTATTATTTACATATTTGCAGATTTCCAGATCTTTCCAAATTTATTTGATATTACTGTTACATATCAACAATATCAAAGTCAACCTCATTGTCAATGTTACCTAGTAAGGTAGCTGTGTGCATAACCAATAACTTAAATTGCTATTAAGTTCAGATTATATATTGGCTCCGTTGTATTAAGCTCATGAGCATTAGATCGATAGATTGATTCTAGTTTAATGTATATGAAAGCTAACATTTTTTAACATTTTTGTGAATTGAAGGGTATTGTAATAAGAAATTAATATGATAAAAAGGGGTGATTTGCTATTTTATTTATTAATGACTCATAGGTTTATTGTCTTCATAAAGGAGAAATTATACTTTTTTTGTAACTTTACATCTGGAAGGGGTTTTGATTATTTAATCTACTACTCTCACTGCCCAAACTCTTAAGAACTTAACGGATGCTTTTTAAAAGACAAGGATTTTCTCTATTATTCAAATTTCTATACTAGGCTTGTATTTTACTTGGACTTCTACAGGGTTGTGTCTGAATATTTCTAGTAAAATTTGGACCAAGGATCCTCCTAGCTATGTGAGGTGGGCACCCAGACCACTAGATTACAGAATCCCAATCTATAAATATAACCCTTTTTAACAGTAGTATATTTTTTTATATAATATATATTTTTTTAATATTAAAAATAAGGTTTTGTACTTATCTTTATTAAACTTAATAGAAACTTTTACATAATTAAGAAAAAGATTTGTTTTTTAAATTTAAAATTAAAATAAAAACTTAAATATATCATTATTTCGAGTCAACACTTCCCGACGATTACTGTAACCAAAATCAGAGCAGAACCAAAACACACCAAAAGTCATAATAGTACTAGATAAACTTATAGTAAGCAATTATAAAAGAATATTAGTTGTTGTAAAAGGAAGTTGTTTTCTTAGAACACTAGACCTTAATAGAAAGTAAATAGGCTAGTTACTTTGAGTAAAGGTTTTTTTTGTAAAGAAATTTTTGAAAAAACAGAAAATTGGCTAAACCCCAAATGCAGATCTCTACTTGTGACATGTAAACAAACAACATGACAAGTGTATGAATTAGGATACCTAATGTAAACAAATAAACAAAGAAGCAAACACATAAACAAACAAATCAAGAATAGAAGTCTAGATTGTTATACAAGAACTGGTAATACAGAATAGCCTAGGTACGTCAAAAATGTCGAATAGTTAAAAAATCAGTAAATGAACAGAATTTGATAGTAGAAAGTCATAGACCAGACATCTTGTGTAAAAATAAAGAAATTGCAGCACTTATTAGTACAGAATCAGAAATAGTGTGTTTCGAAATATAATTAAGCTTTACAATTATTGTGAGTATCTGCAAGTAAGAGATAGCAAACTAGTTATTCGGGATGAAAGTATAGTCTCTGTGACAAAGAAACAGGACATTAAAAGTTTGATAAACTATGAGGTTGGATATGTTAATTATAGTATTAAAGAGATTCAGTCTGCCAAGAAGTCTGTATATATAGCAAAAGAAGATAGTAAGCAAGTAAATAGACTTGAAGAAGTAGTTGTAGTAATACCAGAGAAAAGTAAATGACAAGATGAAGATCTCAGTGAAAGTAAAGGAAAAAGAGCCAAATTAAGCCATGATAGATCAGTAAAAGCCTTGGAAAAGCATAAAGAAATATTAGTTGACAAGCAAGATCCATTACTACAAGAAGAAAGTGTGGTTGAAGAAGTAAGCATTAAAGATGGTGAGATGCAAGTTAACAAATGCCAGGATGCAATGGTGGTTGAGCTGATGCATATAAAAGAAGTACTATTTGAACTGAAAGTGAGTAAGAAAAGTGACAGAGCAACAAATAGTTGGTCAGCAAAACATTATGCAAATCTTGCACAGTTTGAGACCCATACAATATGTGATATACCTCTTAAAGTGCATTCTGCACAAGTATGCAGATGTCTTTATTTCTATGGTAAAACAAAATTCATACAGTAGAGACTATGTGGCAAGAGTAAGGCACTTAAATTTTTGATTAAATTTTGAAGCAAAAAGAGAATATGAGATTTTAAGAAGGCATGTGCAATTTATTTTGAGGAAGAGAAAACATGCAGAGTAATGTCTGGTAGTTTTGAAAGAGGAATACTTGAAGAAAAAGTATTGTTTAAAGCAGTAGTTAAGAATGGTCCAACAACAGCAGCTGAAATATTGCTTTTGCATTAGTTGAAGATAGTAAATGCAAGGGCAGTGTATATTTTGTATAATAAAAATCAGAATTAAAGACATATAGCAACAGTTTATTTTGGATCACATGATGAGTTAGACACAGCATTAGCAAGAGAAGTGTATTATTTTGATATTAAGCTTGAGTGGATTGATGCATAGAATAAAAGTAAGAGAGTTATAGGTGAAGAAAAGGCGAATAAAAGTATAGTTAAGCTTCAAGGTGTCAAGTTAGCTACGAGTAGAGACAGAAATGAAAAAGACAGCAAACAACAGAGAGAGTATTTAAGAACAGTACTGAAAGCAATAAAGAAAACAGTGACCCCAAGATTGAAGGATCAACAACAAAGTCAAAGAGAATTATCTAGAATACAAGTTTAAAAGTATCTTTAATAAAATACTTAGTAGGCTTGACAGAATTGAGAAAAGATATTTGGGCCTCAGGCCCCAACCACTCCTAAGGTTGCCGTGGGCATGTCTAAGAGAACTGAGGAACTACAAGATAATTTGTATATCTAGCAAGATAGTACCCTCAGAAACATTATAGGCAATAAAAGAACAAAGACTAAAAGAAAGAAGGAGTGTCAGGCCAGTGTAGCATGTCACAATATTAATAGTATAAGAGACAACAAAATTAAATTTAAGGCAATTTCAGAGTGGGCAATCGAAAATGAAGTTGATTTATTAGGTTTAGTTGAGACAAATTCAAGTAAAAAGATTTAAGGTTTAGTTTGAATGAAATTAATATGAAGGGTCTTTGGTTTCAATATGAAGTAACAAAAAGAAAAGGTTCAGGTATCGGTTTACTAGTAGGTCCACAGTGAGAAAGGCATTTGGAACAGGTTTTTTGATTTGAGGAATATATGATTAAAGCCTAGTTTTACTTTAAATAGACAGTAGTTGTTGTTATAGTAGTTTATTTGCCATTGAGTGACAAGGTGTTAATTAATAGGATTTAACAAAAGGTTATAATGAGCTTTATGCAAAGAACAAGCAATATGCAATTTGTAATAATGAGTGATTTTAATCATGTGGTAAATAGAAAGTTAGATAAATGTAGTAGTAGGAACAATACAGCTTTCGCTTCCTTTGTATAAATAGTTTAAAAATCAAGGCTTTGTTGATATGTTTAGAATTGTCAATCTAGATTTTATAAAGTATTCTTGGTCTAGTCAAGGTGTTGAGATGAGAATTGATCAGATTTGGGTATCTGAGGATCTAAAGTATAGAGTATTAGCAGCTAACATTGAAGAGGCGGATATAATAACAGCAAGTAATCATGCAATAGTAATAGCTAACATTACAATGAAGCATGTAGTCTGGTGTCGTAGCATGATAGCTGAAAGAAAGAAAGAAATTTCAAGGAATATTTATCTATATAATGAAGCAATGAAAGAAGATTGGAAACAGTATCAAGAAGATCTCACGAAGCTAACTATAGATAATTGAGCACTTACAAGGTGTTGGGCTTTGACTACACCTAACAAACTTAATTTAATTTGGAACATTATAGCAGGGCAGTAGATAAAAATATTTCAAAAAAAAAAGTACCTAGTAGTTCGAACAATAGAACAAGAAAGTACAAGCCAACTGAGTTGCACAAGAGCATAGTCAAACTAGGTAAAATAATTTCAGATAGTTAAAAAGACTGCAATTTATGAGGATCAGTTAATTAATATTAAGGCGCTTAGTAGAGAGATCGAGCAAATTAATATTATGTATCAAGCAAATATACCTTTGTAAATTGCGGTATATATGAAAAGAAAGCACTGCATAAGTGGGCATGTTATGCAAAAATGTGTTGGAAAGCAATGTGGGTGCAAGAAAAAGTTGAAATGGATAAAGCTACGTATAAAAAAATAAAAGCAGTGATAACTCAAAGATATGAAAGAATTGATGGTAAAGTTGGTTTAATGTTAGCAAATATTTTAGACAAACTATTCAGAAAGATTAAAATAAATCGAGTTTTAGAAAAAGAAAATGGAAAGTGAATAATATATAATAAAACAAATGAAGTACTTTTGAAGATATCAGCTCATTTTCAGAGGCAGTTCAAAGAAAGAGAAGTGTTTAAGGACAGAAGAGTACTCAAAGAATTTTATACACCACTCGAGGATGTTAAAGAGGAGTAGTATGCTGAGCTTGAAAACAAAATTACACTTGAAGAATAGTTAGCAGCAATAGAAAAACCAAGAATAAACCCATACCTGAGATTACTGGAATTAGGTACACGTTAATTAAGAATACTAGTATTAAAGTACACAAAATATTTAAAAGATTTGCAAGCTTGTGCTTAACAGAAAGTAGGATTCCAGATAAATAGAAGCTAGTACAAGTATATTCAATTCCAAAATATGAAAACTGGGGTTTTCAACTATACAATATTAGGCCAATTGCCTTATTAGAGCCATTTAAAAAGTGTATTATCTGCTTATTAACGAAGAGAATGTCTAAAGTTTTTGTTGAAAATAAGGTATTATATGGCCCGAATTATGCAGAACTGCCAGGTTGTTCAACAGAGAAGGCAATCAACTTGGTTGAGATAGTGGTTGAAGATGCTCATAAGAGTAAAAAGGAGTTGTGATTGATGCTCCAAGATATGAAGAAGGCATATAACTCAGTGTTATTAAAAACACTTCATACTGTATTATGCAGAGTCAAGCTGCCATCCAAGATAATTAGTTTTATTATCGAGCTAT